CTCATTCGAAGCCCTCTCTAACTTTAGTCTCACCCTTCTCGAATAAATATAAAATATTTTTTTACTAATATAAGCGTATATACCTCGTTAGGGTTGTAGGAACATAATGGTTTGAGAAAAAAAATCTAACTAGGATTGCAGGAGCATATGTGGGGTGTAGTGAGCAAATTTAATTTTTATTTTAAATATTTTTTGACCTTAACGGTAATTATGTACAAGAGTAAAATAGGTTATTCATGTTTAAAAATAGTATGGGTTGCAAAGAGCAAATAATGGGGTGCCAATAAAGTCACCCTTTAAAAAATTTTAAAAAATTTAAAAGTTTAGGAGTATTTAATTATGATTTTATAGAAGTCTACAAAATGAATCCTTCTTCAATACATTAATGTATGGATACATCAAATTTAAAAATTATCTTTGAAATATGAAGTGAAACTGGTCCTGAAAGGTAGCCGGTGAAAAGGAATGTATATATATTTTTTGAATTATACTCACACGCAAGACTCTCAAGCAGAGTTGTCTTCAACCTTCACAAGACCTCAAGCACATTCATCTTCAACCTCCGCAAGACCTCAAGCACATTCATCTTCAACCTCCAACTTGGCTGCGGCTTATTCAACCTCAATTCTTGACTATAAAGTTTCATTTAAATTTAGACCCTTGGCTTTTGCATATGGTGATCATTTGCTAGTAAAATAAAGATGTTTTTTGATGGTCGAGCTTTGGACTCATCTGGTTTCTACATATGGGTTGAGTCATACAACGATTTTGTTAGGCTATTGGATTGTATCTTGGAGGGGACAAGTCAAGAGATATACTTATGCACCCGTTTGTGGGCTTGAATCTCCTTAAAGAGAGTGAGATATTCGAGCCTCACCCCAATTATCTATGTGCTTCTTGGAAGAAAATATTACAAATTTTTTTTGTAATGTCCCCAACAGATTAAATTAGCAAGTGACGTAGTTTCGTGATTTTTTCATGGTTCAAATCGCTCACTGCCTCGCCGATTAGAACTTAATGGATCACACATGTATAAGTTTGATATATGTAAATTAAATAAAGATAATAAACAAGAATTGATTAGTTAATAAAGTTTAATTAATTATTGAATGTATGAGTTTCATTGGTTCTTAAAATTAGATTAGGAGTTCTAGGCCCATTGGGCTTGGACCCATTGGTCTTGTAACTTAGGTTTTGGATGACAAATTAAACCGCAAGGCCGAAGAGGCCCAATAAAACACATGGTCCTCAAGAGAGTGAGGTGGTTGGGGAATTGAACTGTAGACCTCCAATAATTTGATTGAGGCGTTGCTACGAGACTTAAAATCGTATTTCTTTTTCTCTAGTTATAGAATTGAGTTTTGGAAAAAATCAACACATAGGTCATAAAATACTTAATTAAAGGTTTGTTTTTTAAGCTAAACTTTGTTTTAATTTGCGTATGTTGCTAAGATTAGTGTAATATTGAGTTTGATGCTTAAGTGAACATTGAAATTGAGCACATTTCTTTCAATGGCAATAATGCTTATAGCAAATTGTGTTTATAGCACATTTCCACCAACGGTTGATCACAAATTGTGTTAGTATTTTGTATTTCCAGGCTCTTGTGGATCGTGTGATTAGAAATTACTTTCAACATAACAATTGTATTAGATAAGGAGATCATCTTTCTCGCTACCTTATCTCCTATGTAAATATCTTTATTACATGTGCATGTTTACTAATCTGTAATGGACATTGGAATTATTTTTTGAATTCTACATTATAATGTATACTCCAATAAAATAAAATAAAAAACCAAGAGCTAGAATGATTAGGAGGGATTGCTCACCCATACCTGTTAATTCATTCTCTTCGGTATTCCTGATTCCCATCATTCCATGTATGTAAACAATGTATTAAGTTATTAATTCCAAAACTGTTCTAGTACTTGCAAAGGTGTTGTAACTTGTATATGGTGCCCACTGCCCAAGCTCCTATAGTTCTAGTACTTCCATTTAAGTTCTTAGGCTCCCCAAATCAACTCCTTTTTTTTCAGGTCGAATGAATGAAGATTTCATTACCTTAGCAAGTTACAAACAAACGCAATATAACAAAGAGAACAATAAAACAAAAGCACAACAAAACAAAATAAAAGCCCAACCATAAAACATATAATTTAGGACCAACACAACAAAAAACCCTAAGACATACACAAACCCTAAAATCACACCTAAGAACTAAGTAGCCGCCGCCGCCAATACCCTAACTTTTCAGTAGCCACAACTCAGTATGATGGTGCTGAAGATTCTCTCAAATTTCTAAAAAGGAAAAACTCAAAATTATAACAAGACAACATTTAGGGAAAAAAAACATCAGAAAAAAAAGGGTGAACATGTTAAATTTGCTAATCAAGAAATATAAGTATTTAGTACATTAATCTCTGAATGAGTAAAATTCACAATTTGCTACTAAGTTGAAAAACAAAGACATTTCACATTACAGCCGGTCTCCAGTAGCCTGTTGGATTAATGCTACAAGGGAAACCCATCAGGTCTCAGGTTCGAGACTGGCAGAGAGAGAGAAGAAGAGAGAGAGGTTTCGAGAAAAAAAAACATTTCACATTACATTGATACGTAATTTTTTTTTCTTTTTTTAAAAAGGAACAAACTATAATAACAAAAAGTTAATCTATCCATTTCTAAGGAGGTCTTCCCATCAAGAAGAAATCGGTCTTATTTAAACACCTTATTTAAGCATATGTTATCAGGAAGTATCATGTCAATGCAAGCAAATAATAAATAGCTTTCGGGGAACATAGTGAAGAAAATAATAAACAGCCATTTATACAAGATGATTACATTTTCATGGTAAAGTTACTGAGTTCTTGTGAAGGAACCCATATTTGGTGAAATAAGTTTATAATCTTCAATTATTACACTGGATGTTGCAGACACTGCCAGAAAATCACCGGAAAGGAATGAGGCTCGTTGTTCAGAATAGAGTTGTTAACACCTACAACGGGAATCCAAAAGGGGAAAAAAAAGGGCTGTCTGGTTTCTAACCTGCAGAACTAGAAGAAATTGGGAAGCAAGAAAACCAATCGGTTCCACAATGAGAACCCAAACCACCAACTTTACAAAACCAAATCGGTTTTGCAATGAGATACATGCATGCATGTAAAAGAAAAAAAAAGCAAACCAAAAGGAAAGAAATCCGATCAGTTAAACAATGAGAACACCAATCATGAAATGCATGCGGCCATATTCTTACAACCCCCAAAAAAATGAAGAAATTATAAAAAAGACAAACATGACAATGAAAAGCCAGAACTTAATACATGTAGTCATATATACACAAGATGAAACCCAAACAGGTTAGTTAGAACATGAAAATGAAACCGCAAATTGAATAAAACCAAATATGAGATACATAAAACAAACACGCAGAGGCAAAAAAGCAACCACATATACAAAAATTGCTTAAAATGAAAATTAAAACAAATAAACAAAGGGAAGGAAGGAAGAAGCACCTTGTGGTAATGAGAGTAGCCAGCTAAGGTGAGGGATTCATAAATTTGAAACAAAGACGTGTGACAAAGTGTTTGGAGGAGAGACAAGAAGAGACAGGATGAGACTTGGAAGTGTGTTCGGAAGAAGAGGGAGAGATGGGAGGAAAAGAGAGAAGGGAAGAGGATATTTTTTCTGTGAAAATTCAAACTTTAATCATTTTCACGAGATGTACTTTACAAGCACAACTGTCGTTGTAGTATTGGCTTATTATACCATATAAGCAAGCTGAGGTAATTTTCACTTTGGTACCTGGATGAAAGACTCATGCGCTAAGACTGAAAATGGTATCTAGGAGGTCAGTAGCAAGGCATTGACTGACACAAAATTATCTTCAGCTCCATGATTTTTCAACAAGTTATTAAAAAAAAGGTAAAACTAGTTATAGTTCCACTTTGAAGCTTTTTGCCTTCCTTTCTAAATTTTGTTTTTTATCTAACTAGAAGTTCATTTGAAGCAGACAGACCATTACCTTAACAGTGGATCAAGTTGTAACAGATTAGCCCATTCTGGAACATTCATCAGCAATTTTCAAATCATAATATATAGCACAAAGAGGGTTCCTTAACATCTGAAGAATCTGGTTGCTATGTGTTCTGCAACTCCCATGCTTGAAGTTAAACCAGGTGACTCAATACCAAAAAGGTTAACAAGGCCAGTTATCCCATGAATGTCCTCGCCCTGCACATATGAATTCATAATGAGGTCGTATTTGTCAAATACTAATAGTTCAGGAAAAAGCAAACAAAATCCAATCTCCATAGTGCCCATAGTTGTGAAAAGTATATCAATAGAACTATATCAACTATATATCCGATATAATAGTAATACTTGAGTTTCAATTATCACTTTAAATATGGCTTGTCATGCATGTCTATCGAAGTTTAAACTCTATTGAAATAGCACAGAACAAAAAGCAGTCCGAAAACACAGTGCATCCTTGTTTGGGTAAATTTCAATGTCATCTTACATTTCAAAAAGCATAGTACCTAGAAATGAAAAAGAATATGATATGAAAAGCTTATCAAGAATATAAAGAGTCAAAACTAATATTACAGGTTAGGGCTTTAATGGTGTTGTCTGACTTAGAAACAAAATGGTCCTGGGAAGTCTAATATGTTATTCAAAATCTATGCTTTAGAAACCAGATCTTACGCTAGAAACAAAATGGTCACGGGAAGTCTAACATGTTGTTCAAAATCTAGGTTTTCAAAAAGTTTCTGTCATGCTTTAGAAATCAGATCTTACGTTCTTTTTCTTTCTTTCCAAAATGAGGTTACTACAGTCCACAGCTCTGTTTGGGCAGCACATAGTGTGTTCAACACATTGTTACCCATATGTATGTTCTAACAAACCCCTGCATAATATGGATCCAATATTGACATAATAAACTTTAATGAAATGTCTCCATATAATCTGCATCACACCCAATAATTTCTCAAAGTGTGGTAAAATCTATTATGTTTGAGGTTTGGGTGACCACACTGAGAGAGAGAGAGAGAGAGAGAGAGAGAGTCCTATCAACTTTTAATAATGTTCAATCAATTTGGAAGTCACTCAAAATCCAAATTATGGATGGACTTTTTAGTTTTATGTATATCTGAAATCCAAACTGTTCGTCTTTGCAAAGGAGCATCTTCAGCATCCTACACGACGCTTAATGTTCATAGATTAAATGGAACAGGAGAAATGGTTACTGAAAGAAACACTGGATGATAACTATATGAGCTCATCCTATATAAGTAGAAGATGATGTGTACACTAGCTCATATCCTTATGTTTTTTCTATGAGGAAAAAAGAAAGAAAGAGAATTATATGGATCTTGCTTTATTTTGCTCTATTTTGTTTCATGGTAACTGAAAAATGTTAACAAATCCCACCTGGACTCCGTCTGAGGTGTTAAGGATGGATAGGGGTTGATTGATTCCAAGTACAGTATTGCCACACAAGCAACAAAGAACCGGAAAAAAAGGAGTGACAGCTCACCATAGTACAGTGAGTTTTAGAAAGTAAAACTAACCATTTATATAGGCCAATTTGTGCTAAAAGCTGCTACAGCAGCAAGATTTAGGATTCAATGACAACATTTTGTGTACAAATCCGCTTGGCTCGTTGCCAAAACCATTATTAGACACTTCTGATTGGATAATAAGATATAAAGAGGTAAGTATGTGAGGAATACAACAGTAGATCTATTGCTATACATGCTCATGTATTCTGGCCACAATCATAATTCTCATGATAGATGTGTCAACAAAAAAATTCTGACCTAACATTTCAGGTTCAGGCATAAGAACAGTATGCAAGAAATAACCTGTATCACAAAATCAACTGGAGACTGTCGAGGACCTGAAAGCTTTGGTCGAATCCCTGCATAACCTGGATCGAGAGACCCATCTTTTAGATTTGGGTAGTACTTCCTTATCAATGGGTAAAATAGCTTTGCACGATTCGTACATACAGAATAGTCAAACCTGGAAACAAGGCCTTGTCATGTTTTTTCAAAAATGTTCAACATCACAGTTATTATAAAGGTACACCAAAGAAAGAAACTAAGGTTAAATAAATGAGAGCAATAACTGAATTAGCTTTCTTATCGGGTAGATGCACAAGCGCTTGGTTGACATGCATTATAAATAATGCCTCTCCTTTGTGCATATAATAGCATCTAAAATATATAGCAGTGCTAATACCACCCACACCAAACTTTTATGACTGTTCTGATGACTTAAAACTTTTGCATCATCAGTATGGTATGTAATTGTTATTATAAATTTACTCCGGATGCAAGAAAAAAACAAATCACAACAAATCATTATTCAATAACATCACATGCAATCAGGTCATCTAAGATTTTACCCAAAAAGCATCTTAACAAACATATGATCATATATCTGCAATGATAAATGCAAAACACTTTACAAGAATAAGGGCATGTTAATTTACAACCCATCAGCAAAAGTGAATAGGACCTCCATTTGATCATTAACGCAGGCAGCAAGATTAGTATCAAATGCATGGTCTAAAGAAACACAACTTATGCAAGATAGCAGAATTGGACGCACAATGGAAACCTATATAATGTATTATTTATAACAACAAAAAAAAAACTTAAGGCATGTGTTCTTCTGCGCAAGCATGCATAGGAACTTCTTCACTGAGTTGACGACTTCTTAAACCAATGACTTAATTGACAATGCAGAAAGTACCACACACTATATATAACAGACAAATAGATAAAGAAAATATTACTTGTTTAGGAAGCTTGAAACGTCATCAATACCATCAATCCATTCTACATTGGGGCCAAACTTGACCTGACCATTCAAATCCAAAGTAACATGCACACCAATGCCACCATCCTCTGGTAGAGGATAAATCAAATGTTTGAAAGGACATATTGTAGTATTTGATAGCGTGAAGTAGCACCCGCGAGCGTAATAGGCAGGAGGAATAACTGCACTACGGAGGCCATCAAATCGCTTTGCAAGGACAGGGGCACTCAAGCCAGCAGAGTTCACTACAAGCTTAGGAATGAGTACCATCTCTGGTTGCAATGGAAATTTTCCATTCCAATTTTCAAGGTGTTTGGTTTCAGAAATATGAAGGCTTAGGCGATTTTCTTCAATATGGCCACCAATAACTGTAGTATTATAGGAGAAGGTTGTGCCATGATTTTCAGCTTCACCCTGGGCCCACATGTGGGTGATATCTCTGTCAGTAAACAGTTCTAACTCTATAGGGACAAATTGATAAAATCCAATGTTAGCTGAGCTCTCCATAATAAATACTGAAATTCTATTTGAAGCATATATTTGATCCTAATTTTATTAATTTATGAAACGAGAAAGAAGAAAATGCATACCAGCAAAGACAGCATCAAGGAATGTGTATCAACAATCCCAGAAACTGGTGATAGTAAGGCTTTCAAACATCGCAATTCAGGTTCCATCCTCGTAGCGTCTGAACCTTCCATCATAACCAAACCACCAACCCCATTTTTTATCCCATTATTCATTAGATTATGCAACTTTGGAATCTCTGAAGATCCTGTTGCTACTATAAGTTTACCAATTTGGTTATGAGGGATATTGTGTTCAGAGCAATATTTGTAAAGCAATTCTCTTCCTCTTACACATAAGATTGCCTGCAAAATGCATTGAAATTACAACATTTGTTTCATTCTAAAATTTGTACTTCCAACATTCATTTTGAGAATTGGGAAGTGGGTACTTTCCAAATTATGTTCTTCATTTTTGTTTTTCTTGGGTAACACAATCTTAATAAAAGTTGTACGAACAATTCTTAGAGAGAGAGAGAGAGAGAGAGAGAGAGAGGAGACCTTGAGAGAATTGGGAGGATAGTAGATGCCGGCATGGATGACCTCGCTGTTGCGGGAACTGATGCCAGTGCCGAAGGTGGAAGCTGATTCTAACACCAACACCTCTCTGCCCTTTAAAGTAAGCTCTCTCGCTACTGCTAATCCCACCACACCTGCCCCTATCACCACGCAATCTACCTTCTCTTTTGGAACTCCATTGCTGCTGCTACTACCAGTAGTAGTAGCAATATTACGGCTCTTCAAAATCTTGAAGACAACTGACAACGATGATGAAATCCTTTCCAGGCTTTGGATTTTGCTTTTCAGCATCTTTGGTTTGGGCTTACCTTTCTCTCTAGCTAACACTCGGCGCCGGTCGAATGCCCAAGAGCCAAAGCTACAAACGATCCTCTTGAGGGACAGTTTGGTATTGTTGTGTTCTGCCGTGCTAAGAATAATAACTAGAACAGTCAGGATGTTTGCTGAATTTGGGGACCTGGGCTACAAGTGAAGAAGGGTAAATTCGAAAGAGCAAAGCTTTGGCTTCTTAGGAGGAGCTACTACAAAACAAAGAAATAATTTCTAAAAGTTAAATTAAATGGAGGAGTCTCAAAATCTCATTCGCTTTGAGCTTCTCTTTAGTTTTTGTTTTTCTTTTGGATTAATTTTAAGCAGCCAAGTTTTACTCATTTGAAAATATATTTTAAAGTATTGTTTAGGGTTTAGAGAGGTGTCAATACCCATATACAAGTGTCATGAGAAAACTTTTGTTTCAGTCTAATAAAAATGTCATCAAAAAAATAAAAAGCATAGAGTTAACTATAATTATTGTGGAAGCAAATTTCCTCCCACGAGAATATTCAATTGAGATTCCTCTTCCTTCGTCGCTGTCTCCTTCTCCCTACAAAATAGATCGGAGTAAAAGGACCACACCTGGGGGGTGTTGGTCAAAGGCCCTCCGATGCCTAAGTTAGGTTGGGTATTTCAAGGAAAACCGGGTGGCCGGAGTCGTGTGTGGTGGCCGGAGCTTCGTGTGAGGGAGAGAAAGAATATGGTGGCTAGGGTTTGTGAAGGATAATTTTTGCAGAGTTTCAGTAGGAATTCAGACGTACCTTAACCCTTGTGC